CTGTTAAGCACATATTCTTAGTCATTTACATCAGACTGTCAGGGACTAATAGGTCACAGATTGAATTGTATTGTCCAGCAGTTTCTTAGGGTAGGGACTATACAGGTAGCTGTAGCTACCGCTTTTTGTATTAACCTCGTGTTGATGCAGTTTCCAGGTAAGTAGTTTCCGCTCTCATAGCGTTACAGTATTACAAGTGACCTTAAAGGTCATCCGTCTACTCTGGGACCTTTCAAACTCTCGAAACCTGGGTTTAGTAAGAGGCATGGCCACCCCCAGGATCTATTCATGTGATTCCCTGCCCTTTCAGGGTGCCACAGATGACCTCCCTTTATATTTGGAAGGGAATGGTGCCTATTTATTGTGTTTGGGAATTATGAAATATTATAATGCTTATAGAACTAAGCTTTTAGTAGGTTTTATTTTGTACATATTGAATATATATGTGTGAGAACAACTTTCTTATATGTAATGTGAGTCCCTGCCATCATGATCATGTATGGAAAATAAAGTGTTTTTGTATGTGTATTTAATGTTATTCATTCAAAATCTTACATTAGATATTAATTTTTTTTTACAGAACACATACTTTTAAAAAATTAATTTTATGGGGCATCCCTGGTGGCGCAGTGGTTGAGAGTCCGCCTGCCAATGCTAGGGCACGCGGGTTCGTGCCCCGGTCCGGGAAGATCCCACATGCCGTGGAGCGGCTGGGCCCGTGAGCCATGGCCGCTGAGCCTGCGCGTCCGGAGCCTGTGCTCCGCAACGGGAGAGGCCACAACAGTGAGAGGCCCATGTACCGCAAAAAAAAAAAAAAATTATGGAAGTATAGTTGATGTACAGTATTACATGCGTTTCATGTGTACAACTTAGTGATTCACAGTTTTAAATTATATTCCATTTATAGTTATTATAAAATATTGGCTATATTCCCTGTGCTGTAGAATGTAGCCTTGTAGCTTATTTATTTTATACACAGTAGTTTATACCTCAAGAATTCTTTCTTTTTTTTTTAAAGATTTTTTGATGTGGACCATTTTAAAAGTCTATATTGAATTTGTTACAATATTGCTTCTGTTTTTATGTTTTGGTGTTTTGGCTGAGAGGCATGTGGGATCTTAGCTCCCTGACCAGGGATCGAACCCTCATCCCCTGCATTATAAGGTAAAGTGTTACCCACTGGACTTCCAGGGAAGTCCCAAGAATTCATATATTTTAACTGATGGTAAAGCAGGTCCCTAATCTTCAGTTTTTACTCTAGTTGCGGCGAGAGCAGGGGCTACTCTTCATTGCAGTGCGTGGGCTTCTCATTACTGTGGCTTCTCGTTGCGGAGCATGAGCTCTAGGCACACGGGCTTCGGTAGTTGTGGTGCGTGGGATCAGTAGTTGTGGTGCACGGGCTTAGTTGCCCTGCGGCATGTGGCATCTTCCTGGACCAGGACTCGAACCTGTGTCCCCTGCATTGGCAGGCGGATTCTTAACTACTGCACCACCACCCCCCCGGGAAGTCCTAATCTTCAGGTTTATGTAGTGTTATTGTTTCCCACTTGAAGACAACTAGGAAGCTAGAATGCTTCAGGTGTGCTTTGATTAATCACACTTACCCTCTCATCTTTGTTTTCTTTTGGATGGTATAAAATATTTACCAAGATCTGTTTTATTTCTTTCCTTCTCTCACCATGCTAAAAAACCTTAAAATCGTTACCTAGTGTTTGAGTTACCTCTTTTCAGTTGCTTTTACCGTTTGCCCTTGAAGTCTTCTCTGAAATACTGAAACAAATCCCCCAATTTATCTTATACAAACACAAATACAAAATAGTGCATATTTTTAACTGACTTTATCTGCTGATCCTAATATTATTTCAGAGGAAGGGAAATAACAATAGAAAATAACAATAGAAAAATCAGAATTTAGATTCCAACGGCAACCTTTTCTGACAACAGCATTGTTCTGCGTGCCACCATCACTTTCTTATCCTCTTCTCATGTAGTTAGGTGGCAACTTCCTTTAAATTTTAATATTATTAAAAGCCCTTTGGGCCTTTCTCACCTTCTGAGATGACCCACATCCTGTCTGTGTAGTGTGTTTGTCCGAAGGCCACTCTCTCCTTCTGAGATGGCCCACATTGTCTGTGGAGCATGTTTCTCTCTAAATAAATCCACTTTGGGACTTCCCTGGTGGCGCAGTGGTTAAGAATCCACCTGCTAGTGCAGGGGTCACGGGTTTGAACCCTGGTCCGGGAAGATCCCACATGCTACGGAGCAACTAAGCCCGTATGCCACAACTACTGAGCCTGTGCTCTAGAGCCTGCGCACCACAACTACTGAGCCCGCATGCTGCAACTACTGAAGCCCGCACAGCTAGAGCCTGTGCTCCGCAACAAGAGAAGCCACCGCAATGAGAAGCCCACACACCACAATGAAGGGCAGCCCCGCTGGCTGCAACTAGAGAAAGCCCATGCACAGCAACAAAGACCCAACACAGCCAAAAATAAAAAATAAAATTTTTTTTTCATGTCAGGAGATAAGTGTCATGGCTGATCTGGGTCATAAGAAATTACAGACTTTGACAACTAATCTACGACAAAGGAGGCAAGGATATACAATGGAGAAAAGACAGCCTCTTCAGTAAGTGGTGCTGGGAAAACTGGACAGCTACTTGGAAAAGAATGAAATTAGAACACTCCCTAACACCATACACAAAAATAAAATCAAAATGGATTAAAGACCTAAAGGTAAGATCAAAAACCATAAAACTCCCTGAAGAAAACATAGGCAGAACACTCTTTGACATAAATCTTAGAAATACTGTTTTGAATCTGTTTTCTAAGGCAAAGGAAACAAAAGCAAAAATAAACAAATGGCACCTAATTAAACTTAAAAGGTTTTGCACAGCAAAGAAAACCATCAACAAAATGAAGACAACCTACTGAATGGGAGAAAATATTTGCACATGATATGACTGCTAAGGGCTTAATATCCAAAATACAACTCATACAATTCAATATAAAAAGACCCCAATTTAAAAATGGGCGGCAGACCTAAATAGACACTTTTTCAAAGAAGACACACTGATGGCCAACAGGCACATGAAAAGATGCTCAACATCGTTCATCATCAGAGAAATGCAAATCAAAACCACAGTGAGATATCCCCTCACACCTGTTAGAGTGGTTATCATCCAAAAGTCTACAAATAACAAATGTAGGCAAGGATGTAGAGGAAAGGGGACCCCCTTGCAATGTTGGTGGCAATGTAAACTGGTGCAGCCACTGTGGAAAACAATATGGAGGTTCTTCAAAAACCTAAACATAGAGCTACCATATGATCCAGCATTTCCACTCCTGAGTATATATCTGAAGAAAACAAACATGCAAATTTGAAAAGATACCTACATCCCAGTGTTTGTTGCAGCACTATTTACAGCAGCTAAGATATGGAAGCAACCTAAGTGTCCATCAACAGAGGAATGGATAAAGAAGATACCAATATATACAATGGAATACTACTCAGCCATAAAAAGAATGAAATGTTGCTATTTGCAACAACGTGGATGGGCCTGGAGGGTATTATGCATATTGAAGTAAGTCAGAGAAAAGACAAATATTGTATGTTATCATTTATATGTGGAATTTTAAAAAATACAACAAACTAGTGGATATAAGAAAAAAGAAACAGAGAGAACTAGTGGTTACGAGTGGGGGGAGGGGGGAGGGGCAAGTAGGGGTAGGGGATTATACTCCTATGTATAAAATAAATAAGCTACAAGGATATATTGTACAGCACAGAGAAGATAGCCAATATTTTATAATAACTATACATGGAGTATAATCTATAAAATTTTTGACTCTGTTGTACACCTGAAACTAACATAACACTGGAAATCAGCTATACCTCGATAAAAAAAAAATTTACAGACTTTGGGAAAACAGAGTAGAGAAGACTTACAGGAAGTTCATTTATTCATGTTTTAGGTGTTGATAAAAAAAAATAGTGATGTGTAACACACATGTGCACACACATACAGAAAGATGCCCACCATCCCTTTTATTTGAATGCTCGTTTGGACTTTCTTGTTGTTTTCTGACTTGAAGGCGTTGTGGCGTGCTTTTTCGTCAGAGCTATTGCGTGTTCACGCTTCTAGGTAAGCGAACTGGAGGAAAGGAGGCAAAAGACAATGTGGAACTTTAACTTCTCTTCCCAAGTTTTTCTGTTGTATTTAACGAGCCCCCTTTCCCTTTCTGTCTTGTCTGCGGGTACCTTGCCTTCTGGGAAATAAAAACTTTGAGGAAAATTCAAGAAAGTGTTACCCAGTCTTGCTCTTCCATACGTATGTGAGGAAGCAAGGAGAAATGAGTTTTCCTGTCTTGCAGTTTAAAGTGCCTGAGCAGTTCTTCTAGCATGAAGAACTTGTGACGCAAAAAGAAGTACAACTGAGACAGCCCCACATCCAGTTTCTCACTCTCCTGAGAAAAGACTGACATTTACATTGATGGTGTTAATATTCTTTAAGAAACGATGTCTACTCTCTGTCCAAATTTTCATCTTCATGCCTCCTTAAATTTTTACTTAAATGCTTATTTTTCCAAGTAAACACTGACGAGCAGGCAGTCTTTCAAGGATTGCTTCATCTAGGATTCGGTTTGGATTCCTAGACTTAATTAGTATTGGAATAGTCTTTGTATAAGATGTGTTTATGCTGTTTGAAGACAAACATATATCTATACATGTATTCTTATGTTTCTCTAGGTCACCTCTGCAGAAATATATAGGAAACTAGTAACACTGATTAAGGGAGGACGGGAACCAGGAATGGGGTTTGGAAGGATGTACCGTATTCTACGTTTCTTTTTATACTTGCAGTTTCCCCCTGTGTATGTATTACTAATTAAATTTAAACACAGAAAGAAAAAGGAAAGGTTGATTTTTTTTTCTTTTTTTTTAACAGTACACAGTTTTAAAGATCTTCTCTTTTCTTCACAGTGATATCCTAAGAGAAGATGGGAAAGGGCTGTAAGGTTGTGGTTTGTGGCTTGTTATCTGTGGGGAAAACGGCAATTTTGGAGCAGCTCCTTTATGGGAATCATACTATTGGTAAGATTATTTTTCCCTAGTTTCCCTGCAGGTTCTGGGAACTGGTCAGGGTCCTTTGTTGGTCGTGCTAACTTAAAGATGGGCAGTGGTGCACAAAAGTGAGGTGTCATTGAGAGGGACCAAAAGGGTCATAGAAATCGACAGAGATGAGGGGGGGAAAGTAGGGGCAAGGAAAAAAACATCCTTATGTTGTTGAAATTCCAGAGTGCTTGCACTTACTCTGTTAGAACAAGAGTTATAACAGGTAAGAAAAATGTTGTCTCTATGTGGTTTCCAGTGTGTTTACATGATGAAGAGTGGTCTTGGAATCACAGACTCACTGACTTCAGAATACATTGAATGATCTCTCATTTTCATTTCAAACATGACTTTCCAGTACTGCTGTATAGGTTTTAAGAATGGAAGAGACAGCTGTTTGCTGCAGTATGACCTAATTTTGTGAATCGGATTATCTCATTCATTTATTCATTCATTGAGTTAAATAATTGTTCAGTACTTGCTCTCTGATACAGGCTGTGAGGATTTAGAGGTGGAGAAGCATCTCTGGCTTTAAGGAGGTCACAGTTCGGTAAGGAAGGACAGACATAACACGTTAGAATGAAACAAGGCTTATCTTAGAGATATACGTAGAATCATAGATCTTTGAAGTATTTATCGCTGGCAGGTGGCTTCAAGCACATTTCTGTCTTTTATTAACCATTTTGATGAACTCTGATTCTCTTCCACCTTCCCAGAATAATATTTAACAACTTCGGTTAAATCCATATTTGGTTTTTATTAATAACGATGCCTGTGCCAGAAGGTCTGAAAACCTATCACAGTGCTGCACTATTGGTTCTGAATTTTTCACCTTCAGATTCTAATTTATGCCAGTGAAAAAGTAAATTATGCCCAAAGGGGGAAGAAAAGAATCCCTTTCCCCTCTTAAAACACCAACAGATTTTGTTTCTGTAGGCTATGTCTTACGATATTTTTATCGTATTAGAGATTAAAACTGAGGAAATTAAAAAAAATCTTATCACGTAAAATAATAACAATAAACTTATTATAAGCTAAGGTAACACATTTTAATGAAAAATAGTTATATTTTCAAAAAAATTTAGTGAGAAGATGAGTGTTGATTTACGTTTTTGAAAATCGAATGTCCAGCCTGATAGAAGGAAGCTGGATTATCATATCTGCTTGGCTTTGCATTCAGTCTGTTGTTATATGTTTTTTTAGTTGAAATATGTGAAGAAAATATGGCCTCACACAAATATGTGGTTGAAAAAGGTAGGAATATTTTAATAGCTTTGCAGATAATTGTGGACTTTCTTCTTTGGTATTTCACTAAAACTCAATCAGTGATGGTTATTTAAAGGTTATTGCAGTGTGGAGTCTGAAGCCACATCAGTGAACTTCTCCTGTTCTATTACATTAAAATCTCATTGATTTATCTTGCACTTCAAATGGGATTTTTACCCATGCATGGTTTCTTAACATTTATGAATTGGTCATTTGGAAAATACTGGTTAACTGAGGTAAGCAGATCTTCCAAATACCATTTATTAATATCATCACCAGTCTCATCGGTATTGGGAAGCTATCAAGTTTCTGCTGATGGATACAATTCTCATTTTTGCTTGAAAGCTCAACTCTTATTAACAACAGATACTATCAGTTATTTTCCTTGAAATGATAGGCTCTCGTTATTCATCTTTGAGAAAATGTCTGTCAAATACCCTGAATAACCATGTTTTTTTTTCTGTTATTCCTTCTTTTAAAAAAAAAAAAAAAGAAGTGGGACTTCTCTGGTGGTGCGTTGGTTAAGAATCCTCATGCCAATACAGGGGACACTGGTTCGATCCCTGGTCCGGGAGGATCCCACATGCCGCGGAGCAACTAAGCTCATGTGCCATGACATCTGAACCTGCGCTCTAGAGCCCGCGAGCCATGACTACTGAGCCCACGCGCTGCAACTACTGAAGCCCACGCCTAGAGCCTGTGCTCTGCAACAAGAGAAGCCACTGTAATGAGAAGCCCGCACACCGCAACTAGAGAAAGCCTGTGCGCAGCAGGGAAGACCCAACACAGCCAAAAAAAAAAGCTATTTCAGCTTGAACCTCAAACGCAAGAGCTTTTCCTCCAGTCAGTTACCATTATTCATTAAGCAGAAATACTTCATGTATACTTCTCATTAATCACATAGAATATTAAAAAGATGTAAAGATACATACTCATAGATTAGGATTTAATAAATTTGGTAATTTTTCCTGCTTCCTCAAGGACATTCTTAAGTGAAACTGGCTTTTTCTTTTGAAACTGCAAGTATGAGGTGTTGAGGAATTCAACCTCTAATACAGTTGGTGCCACTGCCTTGATTTGTACTAAGGCATCAGCAGTTTTTTTTTTAGAGAATTTTTTTTCCAGTTAATTAATAATTCTATTTTTGGCTGCGTTGGGTCTTCGTTGCTTCATGCAGGCTTTCTCTAGTTGCGGCGAGCAGGGGCTACTCTTCTTTGCACGGGCTTCTCATTGCGGTGGCTTCTCGTTGCGGAGCACGGGCTTCAGTAGTTGTGGCACGTGAGCTCTAGAGCGCAGGCTAAGTGGTTGTGGCGCACGGGCTTAGTCGCTCCACGGCATGTGGGATCTTCCCAGACGAGGGCTCGAACCCGTGTCCCCTGCATTGGCAGGCGGATTCTTAACCACTGTGCTACCAGGGAAGTCCTGGCACCAGCAGATTTACCCATCATTACTTTTATATCATCAGCGCAAATGTCCACACAGTGAAAAAGACGAATGTCTTATATTATGAAAATAGTTTTGCCCGTATGGGTTCCCTGAAAGGAGACCTCAAGGGATCTCTGTAGACCACACTTTGACAACTGCTAGCACATGTAAATATTCTCAGCTGAGCAGTATTATGTACTATGATGGTTTCTTTTCTTTCTTTTTCTTCTTATGGAGGCTAATATTTGCTCTATCACTTCTTTAGTTTTGTTCATACCTTTTGCTGATTCTTCCGCATGTCCAGATGGTTCTCAGTTCTCCATGAGGTCAATCATATCAGATAATCCACCCCGCCCTTTTTTTTTGAGATATTTTTCCAGGAGCTAGCATTCTCTTATCTGGGCCTATTGTACAGCTGTCACCATAGAACTTCCCTTTACTTTTTCTTTCTTCCTGGGTTTGATTTCCTGTTTTCTAGATCTTCTGTCACCTTCTGTTTACGCCCTTCTTTTGGTGGAGCACATCTTGCAGTACTCTTTTGGGGGTTGAAAAGGTTGCACAATGGGATGAGGCATCGGGTGATGACAGCCCTCAGAATGCCCTCTATGCCTGGTGCACAGTAGTAATCCTGGAGCTTCTGAATAAAGGTATTTACTATTGTCCCTGTGATTCCCTTTACTCTCATGTGAGGTTTTGTTTTCCGAATCTGGTGTCTTCCTCTTTCTGTGATTACATGCTAATTTTGATGGCGGGCCTCCCTCAAAGAGTTTCCTGAGAAAATGTGCATGATACATGTTCTGAGGCTTCATGTGTTTGAAAATGTCTTTACTTTCATTCACAATTGAGTTATAATTTCGATGGGTATAGAATTCTAGATGGAGAATAATTTCCTTCCACAATTTTGAAAGCATTGGTCCATTATCATCTTTTCTCCTTCTTTTATTATAAAATGCATCATACATATAGAAAAGTGCATAAAACACACATGTGGTTTAATGAATAATTACAAAACCTTTGCATAACCTCCACACAGGTCAAAAGGTGGAAGACCGCAGGTACTCTCGTCAGCTCCCCATGTTCCTCTCTTCAATCAGAACTCAGCCCTTCCCTTGACTTTTGGTTAATCCCTTCTTTTCTTTATTGTTTTGCCACCTATGTTTGTATCACTGGATGACATCGTTTATTTTTGCCTCTTACTGACTTGATGATATCAACGGAATCATACCGTATAAATTTTTCAGTGTTTTTTTCACTCAACATTATATTTGTAAGACTCATCCATATTGTTTTAAGTAGGTGTGGTGTAATTTTCACGATAGGTATATGGTCTCAATATACCTCCATTTATTTACCTCTTGTATCTATTTTTTTTTTTTTTTGCCCGCCCCGTGTGGCATGTGGCATGTGGGATCTTGGTTCCCTGACCAGGGATCAAACCCGTGTCACCTGCATTGGGAGCGTGGCGTCTTATCCACTGGACCGCCATGGAAGTCCCTATTTACCTCTTGTATCTTGATGAACATTTGGGTTGTTTCCAGTTTGGGGCTATTAGAAAAAGTGCTGCTGTGAACAGTCTTATACACGTATCCCAGCTATGATTTGGACAGGGTCTTGGGGGATATACCTAGGAATGAAATCGCAGGCTCATAGACCATGTGTATCTTCAGTTTACCAGATTCTAATATCTTCTTCCAGTGCTTCTGAGAGGCCAGAAGCCATCATGATTCTTGTTGCTTCGGATGTGGACGCTTTTGTAGGCTCTCTCCCCAGTGCTCTGAGATTCGCAGTGGTGTATCATAGGATCAGTCTGTGTTCATCCACGGTGCTGGGCACCTGGTGGGCCCTTTTCAATATGGAAATGTGTGTTCTTCAGCTCTGAATTATTTCTCTTCAGTGTTCTCTGTTCTGTCTTTCTGGAACTCCCTTTCAATATGGAAATGTGTGTTCTTCAGCTCTGAATTATTTCTCTTCTGTGTTCTGTGTTCTCTCTTTCTGGAACTCTCTTTTTGGATGCTGGATCTTCTGGACTCATCCTCTGATTTTTAAAATTTCTCTGCTGTTTGAAATTTCTCAGCATTTTGTTCCACTCTGTGGGAATTTTCCTCATCTTTATTTTTCAGCCCTTCTATTGAGTTTTCATTTCTTAGTATCCTGTTATTTCATGCATGTACCGTCTTATCTCTTTGAGTATAATATTTGGTAGTTTTTTTGTCTGTTTTCTTTTCTTTGCACAGTCTTTTTCTTTTCAGGTGCTCTTTCCTGATGTTCAGTCTCTTTCTCAGGTATCTGGTCATCCTTGGTTGTCTGCTTGTAATTAAGAATGGACAACTGAAAAGCTAATTTAAAGCTCTAAGCATGTGGATAGGGTTCATGACCTTGCTTCATTATAAGGTGACCTGGGTGGGGCATTTGTTGGTTTACCTCAGAGGTTAGCATATTTAGGATTTCTCCGTTTTCACTGGCCAGATTCCCCAGATCCCTCCGCCTAGAGAATAAAGAGTTGGCCGCCAAAGTTTTGGGAGCAGAGGGGGCACGTCACTGAGTTGCCCCTTGTTTTCACTGCGGAACTCATGCCCTCTGTCCCACATCTCAGCAGCCTCTGTTTTACCCTTTCTAGAAGTGCAGCCTTAGTCTCCTGCTGGGACAGAGGTGGCGTGGAGTGGCAGAGGAGATGCAGAGTCATAACTTCACTTGATGTATAGGGTGAGAAAATCTCAAAAGGTCTAAGCTTAATGGGAGAAGGAAGGGAACCAGACTGGTTTTTGGTGGACAGAACATCCACCATGACAAAAGTCTTGGTAGTTTTTGCTTTTAAATTTTTTGTAATCGAAGCCCAATAAGTTTACGTCTTCATAGACGACCTCTTGCACTAGTCACTAACATTCAGAGTGTTCATCTTCTCACCTTAATCCCCTCATCCACAAATGGTTGTTGCACACTTGCTGTGTACACAGAAGTGTTGTTTCTCTTGAGGAAGTCCTAGGTGAGTTGAAGAGACAAAACCCACACAAATGGAGCAAAGTCAAATGGATTTTACAGGGCTCATCATTCAGGCAAGCAGGGGAATGAAATTGGGGCACCAGTTACGAGCTCACGCATTCATTCAGACGTTTACTAAGGACTTTCTGCGTACGTGAGTCAATTCGTTAGTCCTCAGAGCTCCAAAGAGAGGTTAGCCACAGTCCTGGCTCTCGAGGAGTTTCCACTGCAGCTCCGGAGGGGACAGATACGAAACGAGTTTAGGGTGAAGGGGTATTACCTGTACAAGGCACAGTAAGAGCAGGACGGAGGGAAGCGGATAATCCGAAGAAAATCTCCAGAGCTGGCATTTCAGCAGAGCCTGGGAAGGATGAGGTGTTGACCAGGTGTTTCCTGAGCTGTTGCAGTCATTCAGGTGAAGGGAGCAAGCCAGGGGGAGTGGAAGCAGGCAGTGGATCGAGCAGATGTCTCAGGTGTAGAGTGGCTGATTTAGGACCACATTCACCCATACTTTCCTTGTTCAAAGAGAACGCTGAAGACTGACCAGGTGGCTGGTGATCAAGGGACAGAAGCAAGGAGGAGGGACAGGTGGGGCAGGAAAGATAACAAGTCTTGTTAGTTTGAAGTACTTGGAGGACATTCACACAAAAGTGCACAGTAGGTACTTGGGAATTAAGGCCTGGTGCCTAGACCCAGACTGGACATGTACATTTCTGAGTCCTTGAAACAGACCCTGGAAACAGTGGAAATTGTACATAGAAAAATCAAACTTACCCAGGTCCTGTCCTTGGCACTGAGGAAAAAGAAAATGGGGGGCTTCCCTGGTGGCGCAATGGTTGAGAGTCCGCCTGCCGATGCACGGGACACAGGTTCGTGCCCCGGTCCGGGAAGATCCCACATGCTGCGGAGCGGCTGGGCCCGTGAGCCATGGCCGCCGAGCCTGTGCGTCCGGAGCCTGTGCTCCACAACGGGAGAGGCCACACAGTGAGAGGCCCGCATACCGCAAAAAAAAAAAAAAAAAAAAAAAAAAAAAAAATGGGGCCACTTAATTGTTGAAGGTACTTTAAAAATCAGCCCTTAATTCTCCAACTGAGATAGTAAGTTCTTGGACTCTTGTAAGTTACTTCTGAAAAATAAGTAATAGTAAATTTCACTGCCAAATTTTTATTTTTTTTATGTCTATATGGAAGAAATAATCTTAAAAAGCACTTTGTTCATTTACTGTAACAATTACCTTTCATTTTAAAGAAGCTAGTAAATGGAAATATGATTCTTATGTGTAGTAAATAAGCAACCTAGAAAGCCACCTTCTAAAGGATGAGAAAATACTCAACAGTTGGTATTGAGTTATCCAGAGAGAGTAAAAGCTTTTTTTTTTAATTGAGGCATAATTGACATAACATTGTATTCGTTTCAGGTGAATAACATAATAATTCGATATTTGTACATGTAAAAGTAATTCCTTTTTAACCCCAGGAATGGAGGACTGTGAAACAATGGAAGATGTGTATATGGCTTCAGTGGAAACAGATCGGGGAGTCAAGGAACAGTTACATCTTTACGACACCAGAGGCCTACAGGAAGGCGTGGAGCTGCCAAAGCATTATTTTTCATTTGCTGATGGCTTTGTTCTTGTGTACAGTGTGAATAACCTTGAATCCTTTCAAAGAGTGGAGCTTCTGAAGAAAGAAATTGATAAGTTCAAAGACAAAAAAGAGGTAAGTGGGTATGTTAAAAAATGCCAGCTATGAATTATAACACTGTTGAAATTGTAGCATGGGCTTTTGGGCAATTAAAATATTTTAAAAGCATTGAATTGTATTCACAGTATCTGTAATCTTCATGATTTTTTCCCTAGCCCAGGAAATACAGGACTGAGTTCAACCAGGACCAGCATTTGACTTTCTGCCTTTGCTTCTTCCCATGTACAGCTTGAATTTTAATGACTCCATATTGCAAATACTACATAGTTCATTTCACTGTTTCCTAGGGCTTTTTATTGTCTTCTTGGAGAAATAGGATTGTCCTTAGCCTTAAAAAAAAAGGCTAAGTGGAAAAAACTAATAAATAATTAGTGGCTTCTATCCACTTACCATTTGAAAATAAGATTCTTACTATGGTCTGTAAAGTTTTAGATGATCTGGCCCATGTCTGTCCCTTCACCTTTAGCATTCTGTTCCTCTGTCACTGTACTCCAGTGGTCAACTTTCTGCTTTTCCAGCATGACAATTTTGTCCCCCTGTGAAGTCCTTCTCAGTGGCTAGTTCCCCTGCCTGGAACTCTGTCGTCGCAGGTCTTTCTCTGGGTCTTGGCATGGCTGACTCCTCAGGGTTTAGGGAACCGTGTCATGAACCCATTAACAGCACTGGCTAGATGTTCTTAACCTGATTTTTACGTAACCTAATTTTTATGTATTTTTTATGTCATACTTTTAATTTTGAGGTAATTGTAGATTCACATGCAATTTTAAGAAATAATAGAGATCCCTAACTCAGTTTCCCCCAATGCTAATAACACTGTGCAAAACTATAGTAAAATAACACAACGGAGGTACTGACGTTTATACAGTGAGGGGACCTTTCCAGCACTGCAGGGACCCCTCATGGGACGTTTTATGGCCACACGCATTCCCCTCCCATCCCCTCTCCCTCCTTAACCGTTATCTGTTCTCCATTTCTGTAACCTTGTCATTTCAAGAGTGTTAACGTAAATGGAATCGCAGTTTGTAACCTTTTGGTATCGGCCTTTTTCACTCAGCATAATTCTCTGGAGAGTCATCCAGGTAATTGCATGTATGAGTCGTTCATTCCTTTTTCTTGCTGGGTGGTTTTCCATGGTGTGTATGTACCGAAGTTTATTTAACCACTCACCTGTTCAAAGACCTCTGGGTTGTTGATATTTTAATTATTTTTATTATTTTGAATACTAACTTACTTTGTGAATAGATAACATTCACAAGGCTCAATCTTCAAAAGATATAAAAAGGTAAGTAATGAAGGCTCCTCTCCACCTGTTTCCCATCTTTCCCACCGAGACAGATAAGTGTTGTTATTATTTGGGGGAGAATCCCCCAGATTTCCCTCCCTGCCCTCTAAAGTTAAAAGTATAGTTCAGTGAACTCATATACTTGATACTTGAATCTTAGCTCTGCTTCTCAACTTTTCTGCCTTAGTTTCCTTATCTATAAAATAAGGATAATAATAGTACCTTTCTCCTATGGTTATTATGGGGATTTAAGAAGCACATTCATTCAGCAAATGCTTATTTTTAAATTTTTTTATTGACGTATAGTTGATTTACAATGTTGTGTTAATTACTGCTGTGCAGCAAAGTGATTCAGTTATACATGCATATACTTTTAAAAATTCTTTTCCATTTTGGTTTATCACAGGATATTGAATATAGTTCTCTGTGCTATACAGTAGGACCTTGTTGTTTATCCATCCTGTATATAATAGTTTGCATCTGCTAACGCCAAACTCCCACTCCTTCCCTCCCCCACCCCCTCCCCCTTGGCAACCACCAGTCTGTTCTCTATGAGTCTGTTTCTGTTTCATAGATAAATTCATTTGTGTCATATTTTAGATTCCACATATAAGTGATATATTTGTCTTACTCTGACTTCACTTAGTATGATAATCTCTAGTTGCATGCATGTTGCTGCAAATGGCATTATTTTGTTTTTTTTACGGCTGAGTAATATTCCATTGTGTGTATGTACCATGTCTTCTTTATCCATTCATCTGTTGATGGGCATTTAGGTCGTTTCCAGGTTTTGGCTACTGTGAATAGTGCTGCAGTGAACATTAGGGTGCATGTATTTTTTCGAATTAGAGTTTTCTCCGGATATATACCCAGGAGTGGGACTGCGGGATCATACTGTAGTTCTATTTTTAGTTTTTTAAGTAACCTCCATACTGTTCTCCACAGTGGCTGTATCAATTTCCATTCCCACCAACAGTGTAGGAGGGTTCCCTGTTCTCCAGCACTTATTGTTTGTAGATTTTTTGATGATGGCCATTCTGACCAGTGTGAGGTGCTACCTCATTGTGGGTTTTTTTTGTTTTTTGTTTTTTTTTGCGGTAGGTGGGCCTCTCACTGTTGTGGCCTCTCCCGTTTTGGAGCACAGGCTCCGGACGCGCAGGCTCAGCGGCCATGGCTCACGGGGCCAGCCGCTTTGCGGCATGTGGGATCTTCCCGGACCGGGGCACGAACCCGTGTCCCCTGCATCGGCAGGCAGACTCTCAGCCACTGCGCCACCAGGGAAGCCCCTCATTGTAGTTTTTTGTTTTGTTTTTTGTTTTGTTTTGTTTTTTGGGTTTTTTTTTTTTTGCGGTACGCGGGCCTCTCACCGCTGTGGCCTCTCCCGCTGCGGAGCACAGGCTCCGGACGCGCAGGCTCAGGGGCCATGGCTCACGGGCCCAGTCGCTCTGCGGCATGTGGGATCTTCCCGCCCCGGGGCACGAACCCGCGTCCCCTGCATCGGCAGGCGGACTCTCAACCACTGCGTCACCAGGGAAGCCCCTCATTGTAGTTTTGATAGCAGATGCTTACTGGGCTATGTGCCTGGCACTGTTCTAGGTGAGGCGGAGGGAATACAGTAGACAATAGAACAGAGTCCCTGTTGCCATAAAGCTTCTGTCTGGGGGGTGGGGGGAGAGAGAGACAACGAACAAGTAGGTATTGTGAGGAGTGATGCAGTGTAGGAAGAAAAGTCGAGCCGAATGGGGAGTGAGGGCACTGCCTTCTGTAGGTGATGTCGGAAGGCCTGGTGAGGTGACTTGCAGCAGAGATTTGAAGGGTGTGAGGGAAGGGCGCAAGCCGATGTCTAGAGGAGGCTGCTCCAGGCGGAGGCCTCAGCGGAGCAGGGGCCGGGGCGGGAGCGTGTTGAGCCGGGAGCAGCATTGAGGCCAGAGTGGGTGGGGCTGGGGGGAGGCAGAGCTGAGGGCGCCTCAGGATGGGAGGCAAAGGGATGGCAGGGTCTAGCTTGGGTGGCACTTACTTGTTTTCATGTCTGTTTTAAAAAATTGAAAGGGTAATGGTTGCACATGGTTCAAAAATAAAAATGATGTATAGAGAGGACTCTAGTGAACTTGTTCCCACCCCTGGGTTCAGCCGTCTATTTCCGGTACCTCAAGCGTGTGCTGTTTGAATGTTTTACCCCTTTCCTAGTCTGGGGGCATCCTTCCAGAGTTTCTCTGTGTAAATACAAGCAAATAGAAGTGTACATAATTTTTTCTTATTTTTCTCTCTGTTGTACCAAAGGTAGCATATTGTTGTACACCTTGTATTTTTCATGTAATATATCTTGAAGTCCTTTCCATAGCAGTACTCAGATTCCTTTTTTTTTTTCTTTTTTTTAAACTGATGCATAGTATTCACTGTTTGGCTGTAGATGTATCATACTTATTTAACCAGTCTCAGATGGATGGACACTTAGGTTCTCTCTGGTCATTTGCTATCATGAACTATCCTGCAGTGAATAATCTTAGACATTTATTATTTTCTACATTTTAATGTAGAGTTGTAAGATCAACCAGCAGAAGTTAGGTTCTTGAGTTAAAGGTAAATATAGTGACAAGATACTGTCCATAGGAACGGTATGAAAATGCCTGTTTCTTCAGTCTTGACAACGTGTGGTTAAATTTTTGGATTTTGTGACTCTTCTGGGTGAAATAGTATTTTCGTAGTTGCATTTGTCCTTGATGTGAACGAAGTTGAACCTCTTTTGACTTATTTTTATTATTTTTTTTTTAATATTTATTTGGTTGCACCAAGTCTTAGTTGCTGCAGGCGGGCTCCTTAGTTGCGGCATGCATGTGGGATGTAGTTCCCTCACCAGGGATTGAACCCAGGCCCCCTGCATTGGGAGCACAGAGTCTTATCCACTGCGCCACCAGGGAATTCCCTTTTTAAAAAAAAAAAAAAAAAAAAAATCTTTATTGGAGTATAATTGCTTTACAATGGTGTTAGTTTCTGCTTTACAACAAAGTGACTCAGTTATACGTATACATATATCCCCATATCTCCTCCCTCTTGCGTCTCCCTCCCTCCCACCCTCCCTATCCCACCCCTCTAGGTGGTCACAAAGCACCGAGCTGATCTCCCTGTGCTATGCGACTGCTTCCCACTAGCTATCTGTTTTACATTTGGTAGTGTACATATGTCCATGCCACTCTCTCAGGAAGTCTCATCTTTTGACTTGTTTTAAAATGATCACTCTGGGACTTCCTTGATGGTCCAGTGGTTAAGACTCCACACTTCCACTGTAGGGGGCGTGTGTTTGATCCCTGGTTGGGGAACTAAGATACCGCATGCTGTGCGGCCAAAAAAAAAAAAAAAAAAAAATCACTCTGTGTTGACTTTCACCTTGAGGGACAAGGTGAGAAGCAGAGTTTAGTTCAGATGCTCTCGCTCTAGAGCACTTTGACATTTACCAGCTGGAGAAGTGAGAAGGCAGCAAAGGAGTCTACAAAGTGGCCTTTGAAGTATGAGGAACACCAAGAGATAAGGGTGTCTCAGAAGGCAAGTAAAGTCGGCACCTTAAAAAGTAGGAAGTGACCAAGCTATGTCAGATACTAAAGGCAGATCAACAAAGCCGGGAGGTGGCCAGCTTTAGTAACTTGGGAGTTCTCAACGACGACAGTTTTAGTGAAACAGTGAGACACAGTCTGATGGACTGGATGTCAGAGAGTTGAGCTCAGCAGAGCTCAGCTCTTTGAAAGAGTTTTGAGTCAAAGGGTAAATACATTGTCCCCTAAGAGGGGAACGGAGAGGAGCTGGAGAAGGATGTGTAAGAGGGTTTTGTTTTTCAGATGAGAGAGATGGTTGTTTGTACGCAGTGGGATGATGCAGCGGAGAGACGCAGGTGAGGGGATAGCTGATGGAGTGACACCTTGTCCAGGTCGAAGAGGGTGGGGACATGGGCTTAGAGGACCGCGGGGCTGGTAGACGTGGCGGTGGAAGCACCTGACAGTTCCCTTCTTAGTTGCTCCTGTCTTCTTGCTGACGTAGTGTGGGCATCAGCTGAGGGTGAGACGGGGAAGGCAGGGGGAACGGTGGAGGTTGGAGGAAGAGGACCAAGGTAGGCGATGCCGTCCTTCCAGGGGAAGTGGCGGGAACGTGATGTGTTTGCTGGAGAACAGCAGCGCGCTGGAGGTCGGTGGTTACGAACTGGGACCGGCCAGCGGGGTTGTTTTTTTCCTCCGGCCACGTTCGGTAAATGGTGTCGGCAGAAGGTACAGTTAAGAGTTCAACTTAACCGAGGTGGCGGCGGGGGGCGTACAGCGTGATGACGATGGCAAGGGAGCGAACGAGGAGCAGCTCGGCTGGGGGAGCGCCGAGGGCAGCAGCGGGGTTGAAGGACTGAGACGGAGGTGGTAGCGCTGGGGCTCGTGGGTCCCTGCGGTGCTTGCGGGGTTACTGCAGAGGGGTGCGGGGGGATGAACCAGGAAGGCAGCGGGCGGAGCGGGATGCCCGCCCTCGAGGTCAGAGAGAGCGGTTGTCCTGGTTCGTGGGAGCGAGTGGCTGAGGTCAGGAGGGCAGTTAGGATCTCTGAAGTCAAGGAGCTGAGGGATGAGGTTACTGGGCCACCCCCAGGGCTGCCGAAATCACCGCCAGTATGACGCGAGTAGCGTGTGGGGTGACCACGGGCCAGCGCTGGGATGGGCAGCAACAGCCGGGCCGGGGGGCAGGGGGCGCAGGGCAGCAGCAGCAGCCCTCGGCCTGAGGGTTTCTAGGGAGGGACCGCGTTGGAGGTGGGCCCCCGAGCCTAGGACACCTCCCCCGCTGTGCCCTGCGGGCGGCCGGGTGAGCACCGCACCAGGCCGGAGGGGAAGGGAACCTTCGCCGCAGAGACGGGGTGGGGGGGGGTCAGCGGGAGGGCTGGCTCCTGCTGAGACAGAGGAGAGCCCCGCCTTCCGCTCCGCGCCGCTCCATCCCGCTCCGCGCCGCTCCATCCCGCTCCATCCTCCATTGGGAGGGCGCGCACGTCTCGCACGAAGGCGGGAGCCCGGCCGTGGAGCAGAGGAGCCCCCCTCCACCTCTCCGGCTTCCTGCTTTAGGTGCCTTTCCAGTCACCCTCTCAGCGTCTGGAGGTCACCACTCGTCTCCCCTCCCGCGGACTGTGACCGCCCTTCTGGTCGCCTGAAACAGTGCCTGGGGGTAGCGAGCGCTCCACTTCGAGAAAAGGATCGATTGCCTTGCATTTAGGGTAAAATGTACTTATTGGGTGGTACGTTCAACACATATTCAGTGCTTGTGTCAGGTGCTTCGCTATGTTTAGGAGCGACGTGAACAGAACAATTCCCGTTCTCAAGGGACTCAGGCCCCAGGGCTGCAGACCTCTCACGGCTCCAGAAGTTCCGTGGTTGTATCTTCAAGTACGTATCGCAGGTTTCCCAGACAGCAGGTAGAGCTAAACTGAAATGTAGACACCCCTCAGTCAAACCGGTATCTGTACCCTCGATAGTGATTTCCCCAAGTCTGTCTTCCAGCCGTACCCGGAGTTGAGTAACTTCAAGTGTTGCACAGTTAGCATCCTGTAGAGCATCTGCGTTTTTAAGGAGATACACCGAGCGAGGAGGGGTGAGGTAATGCCCTTTACCCTTCGGCCTCACACCTGAGGATCAGTTTGGACAAAGCACTTCGTTAAATGGGACAGTTTTATTCCTCCATTTTGCCTAGGAACTAATGCTGGCAGTGCGTGATCTTTTACCCGTTTCTTTCAGGTGGCCATTGTCGTGTTAGGAAACAAAACTGACCTTTCTGAGCAGAGGCAAGTGGACGCCGAAGTGGCGCAGCGGTGGGCCAGGAGTGAGAAGGTGCATCTGTGGGAGGTGACGGTCACAGACCGCAAGACCCTGATCGAGCCCTTCACTCTGCTAGCCCGCAAACTCTCCCAGCCCCAGAGCAAAGCGAGCTTCCCTCTGCCTGGGAGGAGAAACAAAGGCAACTCCAGCTCTGAGAACTACACCCTAGGGTGCACAACTGTCCCTTGAATGGCGACTGCCTCGAGGTGTCTGTGAACTTATGTAAAACAGGCCATTTCTGTCTACCTTTGGTCCTTAGGAAGCCCCGAGGGAAGTAATTTAATGCACTTCCAGTTATAATTCAGTTACTGTTGCCTGACATGAAGTAATAGTATATTTGCATTCTCCTTGTTTCAGACTTGTGCCTAAAATTAGCACCTTTGTTATCTGTATGATGTTGCATTTGCCAAAAGAATAAAATAAAATTTGGGTGGTATGCGCGTGTACCTGTGAGTAGCTCCCCTCACCTTTAACCCGGTTCAGAAGCTGTCATTCTGTGTAACTTTAGGCAGACTTACTCGCTCAAATGTTAACTTTGTTTTTGAAAAGTTCACTCATCATCTAAGGTCTAGGATTACGAAAGGACATTTTTTGTGTGTCCAAATTGGATCACAAACAGTAAACAACTTGGGTACTAATAAGTTAACCTAAATTTTATCTGGTAGAGATCTTGCTAAACCTGTGATTTAGCTTTGTTCCAATTATGTTTAGCATGAACTGAGTAGGTGGTGTAAATATGTTACAGCTGGTTCTTCCTTCTGTAGGAAACTGCTGAACACTTAGGGACAGTGAAGCTTTCCACTTCCCATAAGGCACACCATACCTTCTGGAGTAGTCTTCAAGTTAGTTAAGTATCTGAGTTTGTGCTATGGTTCTCTGAAGATTTTGGAAAGATCTGAGTAGCGGGGCTGACTATGTTGAGCAAGTTGACAATACTGTTAACTAACTGTAAAGTCGGAAGCAAGCCACTTAGTGGTTTTGACCGTGAAAACAGTGCACTATTAGTTTTCAATATAAAAAGTACGAGATAAGCTGTCCAGCAAAGAAATGTTAAAACGTCTAGTAAATAGCAGTATCTTGAATACTTTTAAGGCGCGGTTCAGTGAACTCAGACTCACTCACTTGGTGGGACTTGCCTGGGGGCGCGGTGGTTAAGAATCCTCCTGCCAATGCAGGGGACAGGGGTTCGAGCCCTGGGCCGGAAAAATCCCACATGCCGCGGAGCAACTAGGCCCGTGCGCCACAGCTACTGAGCCTGCGCTCTAGAGCCCGTGGGCCACAACTACTGAGCCCACGGTCCACAACAACCGAAGCCCGTGAGCCCCAACTACTGAAGGCCGCGCGCCTAGAGCCCGTGCTCCGCAACAAGAGAAGCCACCGCAATGAGAAGCCCGCGCACCGCAACGAAGAGTAGCCCCCCGCTCGGCACAGCTAGAGAAAGTCCACGCGCAGCCATGAAGACCCAGTGCGGCCCCCCTCCCACCAAAAAAAAAAAAGTAAACTCAATTGGCTCAGTTCAGTGAGTGCAAGCCAAGAACTACTGTATATAAAGATAGAAAACTTACTTACATGGCGGCCGCACTAGCCGATTTAGAATTATTTAAAATTTCTCATCATGCTCCTTTGGATAAAACAATTGTCACTCAGATATGGTCAGGTCACTTCCGGCCTTTTCTCCTGGTGTTGGGCTTCTAGCTTTTTGTTGTTGTTGTTGTTTTTTACATAGATGGATAAATACTTTTACAGTTATTTTAAAATAATATAATAGATCCTGCAGTTTGCTCGTCTGCTGAATGCAGCTTAGATCCATTAGTACACAGAGTGACCGTGTCATGAGAGGGCAGGTACCTCCACCCTGGGCCCTGGACGAGCTTCTCTGGGGCAGGTGTGCGCGCCTAGGTCCTGCCAGGCTCCCTCCACTGTGGCGGGGGTGTTTCTCCATGAGAACCCACTTCTCACGCACGCACTTAACCACCACAGCGCTTCCAAGTTGGAAAATGCTTTGACGAAGATACAGCGGAACTCTGCCTTTGGAAGATCATGAGTTAGATTATCTAACCTTCTCTAAGGCACCTATCCTACAAGGCTGTTGGATAAATCCAAAGTAATGGACCAATCCTAACACACGTGCTGGGTAGACAACACCAGCGCGTTCAGTCTGCATTACCTCTAGGCTGTTTGAGTAGCAAAGATCTATCAAGAAGAAAGAAACTACAAAAAAGGCAAAAGGAAGTAAATGAATACAGCAGCGTTAGGCGGTGGTTTTAATATTGTTTATTAGCACAGTAACAAATGCAGACTTAGGCAGTCCACAACATAGAACCAATCCACTGAGCAACTCCTATTCCACGCCTTACAGTTAACAGCTTAAGGTATTTTACTACAGGTTTTCACAAGTCCTGATTCAACCTCTATCTTTTCACAAGAAAGCAGGCTGGCATATAAAATAAAATACATAACTACTCGTATTTCCTACATGGTGTCTTATAGCCATGTGTCCATTGTATGTATGTATATATATACATATATATATATACATTATATATATATATATATATATATATATATATATATATATATATATATGAGATGATGGTCTCTAAAAGCTGTTAAATATCACTGCTCCCCTCCAAGAAGGGAAAACAAATTCCAATTTTTTAAAAACAAAAGACTGTAGTCTTGGAAGGACTTTACATAAATGGCCAGGTGTGTAACCTGTACAAATTAAGCTGTTTCAGATTTACAGACTACAAGCAACTGAACCCAAACGTCTATTCTCTGTACTGCATTTCAGCTCATACTGCAGAACTAATGACGGTTTTAAAAGTTGCTATTACCAGTTCTGTCTACTGTAGCAAGATACCTTAAGTTACAACAAAATCTTAGGAAATAAGACTGAATAATATCTGTTATAGAAATACCCTACTCTTCACCAACGCCCACCCTCCCCCACCCCTTCAAAATCATAAGCAGCGCTCTCTGTGACAGACAAAGAATGTAGAGAATTGTGACAACCCAATTTATGTAGCGTATCTCTTGGTCCACTGTCTGGCCATTCTGTCATGTTCTGCTCTGTTGGTCATATACTGAGTGGCAATACTTCCCACCAAGGGGTCGGCTGGAAGAAAAGAATGTACGTTATACTTGGAAGAAGGGAAAGAACATTGTTAAGTTTCAGCAAATAAGCTAGTGACAGCTTGTGAGGAAATGGACAGAGTAGCTGTGATCAAGCCACTCCACCATTTGGGATACTTTTTTCCTCCTGGCCTTTAAAAAACAGCATGGATGCAGGGGGATCCTGACCCAGACAGAGTGGTCTGGCCCCGTCTCCTTAGTTCATTCCATCTCTCCCCCAACCACCACCCCCACGGGAAGCGTTTTGCTCCTGCGTGTCAGGGCACAGAACGTGCGAGGCCCTAGGCTGCAGTGAACACCCAGCTGTGTTCACAGGACCACCTGCTCGATGGCACCACTTGTGACACTGAACGCTGTGAAGTCCTCGGGGCTACTGCAAGCGAACGCTATTTACCTCTCTACTCTGTTGACCTGCAAAGACCCAAAGCTGCCAGGTCGAAACCTGTACTTCCGATTAAGTACAGTGTTCCTCTGAAACCTAAATAAAATCTTTAGTAATTAAATTTATATTTCTTTATCTAGAAAAAAAAGTTTTTAATAAGAGGAAATTAAGGCCCAGACGAAACCACAGTCTGGTAATCACTAAGTGTACAGCAGAGAAACAACGCCACGTCAGTAAGCAGTTGTGGGCAGGTGCTGAGCAGACCCGCAGGCAGAGGGTGGGTGACTCAACATTCACAAGTGTGCGTGCCGTTTCTGTATGGGAAACACGCAAAAAGGGAGAAAAAGTAAAGGGCAGAGAATGAAGATGTAAAAACCTAAGGCAATCTTTTGTAAGTCTTCAGTTTATAACACCTTGTTGCTAGAACACGTCAAGTAATGGTGAAGTCCGCTGCATTTTTCACCTAGTAGATTGAACTCTTGATAAGAACTTGCTTTGAAAAGCAATGAGTTTTTGTCCCTTGAAAGCCCATTCAAAGATAAAATCTGAACTTTATCTTTAGAAAACCTTAGTTTAAGTGGAAAATAACCATTTTCCAGGTGAGGAGAAATAAAACAAGGTAAAGAATTATTAACCTTACCAGGATTACAGTCTGTAAGAAGTGAGCAGATAGAAAGAAGGACTTTAGAAATGGTTAGTGCTGGACTCCAGTTATCTTTCAATATGTCCAAGCAAATAACTCCTTGACTGTTAATATTACAGTGATAGATTCTTGTCCGAAATGTAACCTAAAAAACAAGACAGTGTTAAATGAAACCTGAACAGCAAACAATGAAACTTTTTACTAAATTGCCTCTTCAGTTAAATGGTCCTAATTAAAACTTTTAAAGAAAGAGACATTTGGTCTTTTTAAAAAGTGAACTGTTTTTTAAAACAGTTTAACTAAGGCTGCTGATAAGAGATAGGGTAAGAGACTATGTCATGAAATTGAAATTAGAAAGTGTTCACTGATACAATCTCAGGGATTTTCAATTTCATTTAAAAAGTAATATCCATCAACAAAAAGCAAGGTAACCTCAGTATTTTTTTTAATTGAAGTATAGTTGATTTACAGTGCTGTGCTAATCTCTGCACAGCAAAGTGACTCAGTTATACATATATATGTGTTCTTTTTTTTTTTTTTTTTTTTTTTTTTTTTTTTTTTTTTTTTTTTTTTTTTTCGGCGCGGGCCCCACC